AACCCAGAAACTACAGCTATGGACATATCCTAAGTAAAATGAGCTTACAAGATTGTAAACAGGGAACCAGAGACATCAACTGGCAAGTGAGGACAACTACAAACAAAAAGAGGGAAAATACTGTGTAGTTACAGAACTTCTAAATGGTGAGGAAGTTAAGAGAGTTGCAAAAACACATATTAAATCTTTTGGTTTAAAGACTTGAGAGAAGTTTAAAAATAAGGGCCTATTTATATCTGATCTGAGTGATTATCACCAAAAAGGTTATCTGTTTTGAAATATAACAGAAATAATCTCTTATAGGAAAGAATTCAGTGAAAAAAACAAATGTACTTATAAAAAAACTTTTGTCAAAGTAGTAACCTGATTCAAACGACGTTTTAAAATGGACAAAACGAAGACTCTAAACTCCAGTTTTTCTCAAATGAATTTTAAAAATATCACACATTGTTCTTGGCTATTGTATTAATTTTAAATGTATAATTTCCCAAGTAACTCTTAAAATATGCATTTAGTGGCACCCAAATATGAGGGAGGAAAAGTCAAAAGCAACCAAGTATACATTTTATTTCCATATCCTTAGCAACTGGTATCAACTAGTTATGTGCTTTTTATAGTACTCTCTAATAATATCTTAGTTAGGACCCAGTGGGTGGTGCAAATGGTTAAGTGCTGGGCTACTAGCTGAAAGGTTGGCAATTCAAACCCAACCAGAGGTTCCTTGGAAGACAGACTTGACAATCTGCTTCTGAAAGGCCACAGCCCTGAAAATCCTGTGGAGCAGTTCTACCCTGCATACATGGAGTCACTCTGTGTTGGAATTGACTTGACAGCAACTAACAACATCAGCAGCATCTTAGTTACCAAGTAAGGCACTATGTTCAGAAATTCATTCAGTCCATAAATACTCATGGAGAGCCTATTATATACCAGGAACTGTTTTAGGTATACTGGATACAACAGTAAAAAAGTAAAAAAATAAATCCTTGACTTCATTATGTATTCTATTACATTAAAGTAGTATAGTACATTATATCGTAACACAGTGAACTTTTATTATCCTGCAGTATTCAAAATACAAACACAAGGCTATAGGTTAGTATGCTTTTTTAAAGTACCCTGATAAACTTTTTTTCCCTAAATTTACATCTATGCTAAAAATGATGCAGTCAACGTCATCTAGTGTGTTGAATACAGCAAGTTGTACTCTGCACTGGTCTCTTTTCTATACAAATTTCCTCTAGGACCAAAGGGCCTCCAGGTCCTATTTTTTCTTTTTCCTTCATCTCACTAAATAATGTATCTCCCTTCCACTCTTCGTGAATTAAAACCCAGCATGGTTCTCCTTTTGGCATAGATAGCTTATGGTACTAATCTGAGTTCCTATTTATTATTTCTGGGTTCCTTATCGTTTCTTGGTAGTTAAATTCAGTCAAAAAAATGTACTGAACATCTACTTTCGATGGCTTCTCATATTAGCCCCTTCATGTGATTACCATCTACCCTCTACAATTTTAACAGTATTTGCAGAGATACCTTGACTCACTGTGTACCATAGAGCTGGGAAAGGTTAGGGAACCACTTAGGTATAACAGAAAACCCATGACTAACTCAGTATTCAGTCCTTTGTCAGGGAAATGAACTTCTAATAACTGCATATAAGATATCCTTTCATTAAAATAATAACATGCTGAACTTCTTTTTTTTAAATCTTCACATACTTAATGCTCATATTATGGAAAGAAAGTTTAAGAAGTTCATGCAATAGAACCATCAAGCAATCTTGAACTACCTTTCACATTATTGAAAAAATGCTCAAGCCAAGAAAATAGTAATAAATCTGGGGAATTTCCACAGGGCAAGTAATCTAAGAATCAAACATGGAAGAAGATACGGAGATGCCAAAATAATTCTTCATTACTGAACTGACATTTTAATACTGAATTAGATGAATCTTAAGTTATTTCATTAGCTACTCTGGGAGTGAATTATTCCAAGATTTTACACATTTTAAGAATATAAGAAGTGCTAATAAGTACTCACTTAAGTAGCCCTACCAATTTTTAAAGTTAACACACATTGTCATTATCAAAATGATTATTTCATACTATAACATTTGATAACATAAAATACATTATAAAATAGAATATTCTTTTCAATTATAAAAATATTACTCATGAAATAGTCTATGACACTGAAAAAAGTCAAGTTTATGGCAATGGGACTATTTCTGTTACTATAATAAACATTCAATAAAACAAAATGACTCAGAGAACAGCCTACCAAATATGTGTGCTTATCACATGTACATACAGATATGCAAAAATGACAGAATTCCTTACACATCAACAATTCTCCCACCTACAGAATCAGATGATTCTTACACAATAAAATGTACTCATAGTAGAAAAGAAAGTACTGATTTATGCAAACACACATTCCCATACCCTTTTCAGATCTAAGCTCTTCAGTGTCCTTTATCAGTTGTTCAATTTCTGCTAGTAGTTCCAAGTTCTTCTTTTCGGAATCTTTCAGTTTACTTAAATATGAGACAAAAAAAAATTTTAAAAAGTCATTAATTTTCATTGTTGGCTAGTGAATCATCTTGCGTCTAATTAGACTTACTTGATTTAAATGTCAAGATAAATTAAAAAAAAAAAAAAAAAAACTCCATTGCTGTTGAGTAGTTAACAACTCAAAATGACATGTAAGACACAGTGGAACTGTCCCATAGGGTTTCCAAGGCTGTAAGCTTATGGAAGCAGACTGCCTCATCTTACTTCCATGGAATGGCTGATGGATTCAAACTACTGATTTTTCAGTTAGCAGCCATGTGCTTTAACCACTGTACCACCCAGCTCTTTCAAGATAAATTAGCACAGGGCAAATCCAGCTTACCACTTATCTTTATGGAAAAAAAAAAAGTTATACTGGAACACAATCATGCTTATTCATTTATCTATCGTCTATGGTGCTTTTATGCTGCAACAGCAGAGCTGAGTAGTTATGATATAGACTGTGTGCTCTCAAAGCCAAAAATGTTTACTATCTGGTCCTTTATAGAAAAATATTTGTTAACCCTTGAACTAAATTACTAAATTAAAAAGATGCTATAAAGTCAAAGTTAATTTTAGAATTATGTTAAGAATTCTTTCATAAGGAATCATAACAGTAGAGCAAATACATGAATAAAGTTATAATTTTCAGTGTGACTCGTATCTCTCTGATTTAGGAACAAATGTGTGTGTCCTCACATGCCCTGGACATATGAAGAGCTATTACAAATTACAACACAAAAAAGACATTCAGCACTTTTTATGCTGGGATCATTTATATACTCCTGAAAAAGCTTTTCCCCCCTTTCCATTATGATATAAGCACATTCAATTTATGTCTAGATTATAACAAAAAGTTTGTAATTCGACAGAGGTGCCATGAATCTGGCCTCTTACTTGATCCCAAACATTAATGACTACAAATTAGGACTAAGGATTCCCACCATTAAAAATGGAATTTATAGGCTTATTATTTCTTCTCATAAGCTCAATGCTTTTGGAATCATTGGTATTTCAGGCAGCAAATGAATTCCTAAATCTATGTTTTCATTTGTGACTTGAATTTTGCATTGTTCCTCAATGTAATCTATACTGACTTATTGTTGAACCATGTTTATAACCAGTCAAATTATTATTATTATCATTTACATATCCACAGTATAATTTGTTCTGCTCTTATGATAAAAACTGAAGGAATATATTCATTAACTAAGGCCTTAGAGATTCTGGTATGTAATTTTTAAAAATACACATGAAGAACTTGAAAAACAACAGCTGTAACTAAAATATATTACATCATTATGAAATTTACTTTCAATAGATTGTAAAAGGTCTATGGTAGACTCTACAATTTACAGATCACTGCATTTTGTTCTGACTGTATGTTATATTTTTATACTAATATAGTATCCTTGAACACAAAAGAATTTTGCACTTAATACAATAAAATTTGAGAATCAACTAAATGTACAAAGAAGAGTAAAAACAAATAATATTATATTAATTAATCCTATTAATCCCACTTTATGAAGAAGCCAGAGGAAAATAAGGCTGTCCTTAAATCCCGTAACTAGGGAAAAGAAGGAGCTCCGGTAGCGTAGTGCCTAAGGCACTTGACTGCTAACCAGAAGGCTGGCAGTTCAAACCCACCAGCCATTCCTTGGAAGGAAGGTTGGGCAATCTACTTCTGTAGTAATACCGCCTCAGAAACCCAAGGAG